AAGACGCCTGGATATAAAAAAAATACAACAAAATAAAACAGCCGAGGCCCCAAGTATAGCCGTTTGGCCTTTCCGACAAGTTTAAAAGGAAAAAGTAATAGTCAGTGGTCACCCTTGAAGCCAGAAGTCTAAAGAAATTACAGCATTTACTCAGTGGCGCCATTGTGACTAGATACACAAAAAACTTGATATCTTCTGTCGAGATGGTTCGATTTACGCCTTGAAACGATCACTCCTGCTGCCAAACTCGTAACATAACGGCAAGATCGGCCAGATATGACTACAGTAATTACTATTGTATTCATATCCGGCCAATCTTGCCGTTATGTTACGAGTTTGGCAGCAGGCGTGATCTTTTCAGGGCGTTTCACGGCGGCCAAGGTCTGCTACACCAATCTCCCTACGGTGGATCTATCTACCCTCCTCTCCACCTGTATTTTTGATGACGCAGCAGCCCCTTCTGACCATGCTGCTCCGACTCCCCCTCTTCTCCGGGATTGAGGTCCACAACGGCTCCTGATCCAACAAGGGCTACTAGCCAGCCAGACAATAGTTACTGGGTTGAAAAAGCGACAAGTAAACTTATATAAACTTATCCTTGAAGTTGCAGGTATGCCGTCTGCATTAGGTGGCCTTATTAGAGGTGACAGGCGTTGGTACTGACAATTCAGACGAAACCGAACTTGACCATCTTCTCAATTTTGATGAGTAATCAATCATGTTCTCGCTTTTCTCAGTGGCAAGTTAAGTTTTGCCAGCCTATCCAGTGTCATGCGATTTCCCGCTTCTCATCGAAAAAATCGCCGGTGCAATACGGATACTGCAAAGGGGCCCGGAGGGGGGGGGTATTGCCCCTGACACTTGCAAATCGATACTCTGGCAACCTGAATCCACAAAGGGAGTGAGAAAGCGCGGGAAGATGGTCGTCCCTGATGAATGAGGCCCGTGTGTCTTTTTTCTGTCTTCAAGATTAAATATACGAATTACCGCAACAAAAGCATAATCAACAACGTTGTGGAGGTACTTGCTGTGTACATGACTCAAATGTGAAGCCCGATCA